CAAGTTCTTGGGCATCTACAGAGATGTGGGAGACCTGGAAGAAACTCCTGGCTTTGGATCAGCTCAACTCCAGCTATTGTGCCCTTTTGGGGAATGAACAAGTGGATAGATCTCAATCTCTCTCTCTCTCTCTGTAACTCTGCTTTTCCAAATAAAAATAAATCTTTTTAAAAATCCATCTACCTATGAAACACAAACGATTCTCCTGATCTGTTTGTGAAGTTAGTTCAGTTCTGTGGGCTTACTGTCACTTGACATCATGCACACTACAGTGATGGATGGAAACACACAGGGCTATGCTGAAAATCCACAGATGTACTTGGTAGTTAAGAGCAGACATTACAGGTCTGAAATTCTTTGAAATTTTACAAGAAAGGCACACATTTAACAGAATAAAGTTAGTAAAAAGCATTAAATCAAATTACACAAAGTAATAGTAATACTTATGTATCAGAAGGGATTAAGTGCATTTAATGATCACAGCTGTTATATTAAAATTAAATTGTATTATCTCACAGTGCTGAACTGTGGAATAGTATTTTTTTTTACCTTCATTCAACTTTTGATGATTTAGGTTTCTCTATATGGCTTTTTAAAAAGATTTATTTATTTTTATTGGCAAGTCAGATATACACAGAAGAGGAGAGAGAGAAGAAAATCTCTATCCACTGATTCACTCCCCTGTGGCAGTCATGGCTGGGGCTGAGCCGATCTGAAGCCAGGAGCTAGGAGTCTCTTCTGGGTCTCCCATGAGGGTGCAGGTTCCCAAGGTTTTGAGCCATCCTTGACTGCTTTCCCAGGTCACAAGCAGGGAACTGGATGGGAAGCAGGGCCCGTTGGGACACGAACCGGTACCTATATGAGATCCTGGTGTGTGTAAGGTGAGGACTTTAGCCACTAGGCTGTCGTGCTGGGCCCTCTCTATATGGTTTTATATACAGATTTAAAGAACTGGTCATTTCATTTTTTTTTCCAACAGAAAGAGGAGCATCTATACTAACACCAGTACACAAAAGCTACATAAAGCCAGGAGAACAAAACTGGATGCGCCCATGCGTCTTGTCCAAAGGATCAGGGACCAAAGGGGCTCCAAGTCCTTTCCTCTTGGAACACATCCCCTCCTCTCACTTCCAGTTTCTGTAGAGAGAAGAGGCATTTCCACAGAGATGATGTCTGACACGCAGGTACTCCTTTGGAGAACCAGTGCCTGTGTCCTGATCCCCCATAAAGCTGCGCTGGGCTGGTTCATGAAGGTTTGGGAGAAGGGTCTCTGCATGGCTGAAGCCAGCAGGAGAGAGTCAGGGGCCTTCCTGGCTGACATCACATAGAGGGCTGAAGGAGCCGGATGGAGTTGAAAGGGGTCTCTGCCCTGCCCACCCTGTGTGAGGATGCTGCAGTTCCCTGCAGGAAAAGCTTGTGGCCGGCAGCCAGGTCTACATCAGCTCTTATGAAATGGGGTGGTTTTGTTTTTGTTTTTCACTTCTTTTAAAATGACACAAAAACTTTCATTCCTCTGCAAAATCAGTTTAAGCACCAGTAGACAGAATAGGAAACCAGTAGTCACATAGCAATTGTTTGAGGATCAAATTCCTAGATCCTTGGGTAAAACTTGCAAAAATGAAGGGTATAATATTCATGCAGGGTCTAAAGACTGAAGGGATAAATGATGATTTGTTTAACTAGTTGATAAGAAACAGAAGGGAAAAAGTAAAGTTTGAGGCCAGTGTTGTGCTGCAAGTTAAGCTGGTACCTGTGATGTGGATTTGAGTCCATGGCTGCTCCATTTCTAATCCAATCCCATGATAATGTGCCTGGAGGAAGTGGAAGATGGCCCAAGTGCTTAGGCCCTTGCCACCCACGTGGGAGACCTGTTGGAGTTCCATGACCTTGGCTTTGGCCTGGCCCAGCCTCTGTTGTGTTGACTATTTGGGGAATGAACTAGGAATTGGGAGATTTCTGTCTCTGTCCCTCCCTCTCTCTGTCACTGTGCTTTTCAAATAAATAAGTAAAGCTGAAGCAAACCATCCTCTCTGGGAACTAGACAGACTGCTGTGCTAAAGGCTGAGTTGTCTAGGCCATGACAGCTGGTGGCCTCATCTGAGTCTGCGTTGTTGCTCCTTGCTAATGTCATCTGGTTCCGGTAGTAAACAGTCTTATCTCTGGTGGCAAGGCAGACAGTCTTGACGTTTCCAAATGCCCAGGAAAACTACCTAGTGTCAACATCTGTACCAATCATGGGGTTAATAAAATATGGGAGGAAGCTAATTTTTCAACTAAGCGACCCATTTTCTTAAAAAAAAAAAGTGTTGTAATTATATATAACTATATGAGTACAAACTATGGGGTGCAAAGTGATATAATGATCCATGCATGTAATATGAAATGACTAATTCAAGATACTTGCCATTTCTGACGCCTCAGAATTTTTTTTTAAAGATTTATTTTTATTATTTTTTTTATTGGAAAGGCGGATGTACAGAGAGGAGAGACAGAGAGGAAGATCTTCCGTCCAATGATTCACTCCCCAAGTGAGCGCAACGGGTCGATACTATGCCGATCTGAAGCCAGGAGCCTCTTCCGGGTCTCCCACGCTGGTGCAGTTTCCCAAAGCTTTGGGCTGTTCTCGACTGCTTTCCCAGGCCACAGGCAGGGAGCTGGAAGGGAAGCGGGGCTGCCGGGATTAGAACCGGCGCCCATATGGGATCCCGGGCGTGCAAGGCGAGGACCTTTAACCACTTGCGCCACCGCGCCGGGCCCCAGAATTTTTTTTTTTTTATTATTAATTACGTTGCATTATGTGACACAGTTTCTCATTGGCTCTGGGATTCCCCCATCCCCTCCCCATATCCTCTCCCCATGGTGGATTCCTCCACCTTGTTGCAGTATTGCAGTTCAAATTCAGTCAAGATTCTTTCGTTGCAAGCATATACCAAGCATAGAGTCCAGCATCTTATTGTCCAGGTAAATTCAACAGTTTCCTGGGGAGATCATCTCTGGTCTGATGGCAGAGCTGGCAGAATATCATCTCAATCAATTAGAAGCGACAACATAACATCAACAACAATTTACAACATTATGGAATTAATTGACATGGTATTGAGTAATCCATATGTTATAATAATGCAAGTTCTTAACCACATCCTGTGACTACTTCTTTGACTCTTCAATTGTTGTTTGTACACAGAACTGGCTGCTATATACCTTAAAATGGCTCTAGGGTACTATTTAGCTGTCTCGTGTCTATTTTCATTTTAGCATTCAGCAGTTTACAGTGTTGAAGCTTAATTTTGCTGAACTTGGTAGATTTTAGGATAGTCTAAACTGGCATATAACTCTAACAAGGCATATGTCAACAGTTGAAGTGCAGAACAGTTTTAAGAAGGGTGTGCAGAGAAATCTCCAATACCCTAATGGGGAGTAACTAATCCTTGTATCCTATCTAGTAAGGTATATGTGGATCCACGCTGATCATTTCCTGTTTGGTTCTAAGCTTTCCTTGTTGTTCTCTGTCTATCCCAATTTGTGTGTGTATGTGTGTGTGTGTTTCTCTGTAACTCTGAACTTTCAAATAAAGAAACACATCTTTTACAAAAGTAAGCTTCACATTGGGAGTGTGTAGTTGGTATTATTGCAAGGAGCTACAAAAGTTGATTGCCCTGTGGCTTGGGGTGTGGTTTAACGCAAGAAAGACAGGGAAAGCCAGAGGTGGGAGGAATGAAATTCCTCTGTGGGAGGAATGAAACTCTTTTTATTTTTTTAAAGACTTATTGTATTATTATTATTTTAATTGGAATGTTGGATATACAGAGAGGAAGAGAGACAGAGAGCAAGATCTTCTGTCCATTGATTTACTCCCCAAGTGGCCGTAACAGCCAGAGCTGAGCAAATCTGAAGCTGGGTGCCAGGAGCCTCTTTCAGGTCTCCCACACAGGTGCAGCGTCCCAAGGCTTTGGGCCAGCCTTGACTGCTTTCCCAGGCCACAGGCAGGGAGCTGGATGGGAAGTGGGGGCACTAGGATTAGAACCGGCACCCATATTAGATCCCAGTGTGTGCAAGGCAAGGACATTAGCCACTAGGCTACTGTGCTGGGCTTGGAGGAATGAAATTCTAACACAGATCAGAGTAAAGGACTGTGAGACTCATGAGTACCCAAGTCTGTGATGAGCTTCTGGGAGGTGAGGGGGCTACATGGCTTGTAGGCACCACTGGTGTTGACACTGAGGTGCTGCTTGTTCTTGTGTTGGTGCTGAGTTCTGTCACCTTGAAAAATTAACAATAGAACCTGGTTTTGATGAAACAGCCCAGACTGGCCACCAGGGAAGCTGTCCTGGGAGGTTCTGACACCAACACAATAAGAACCAAACCAAGAAGTGAGAGGACACGTCCCTGACTTAGAAGTAGCCCAGCAAGAAAGAAAGCTTGAGCTGGGCGTTTGGGAGTGGGAACCAGAGGATTGCCTGATTCTCACATAGTCCTGTATTTATGTTCAAGAAGTTCATGGATCAGGCATGTTGTGAGAGAGCTCTGCGTGGATTTCAGCTTGCTTTTTTTTTTAACACCAAAATAAACTTATATTTTAATTGCATTTTCTATAAGCTTTTAAAATCCCTGAGTATAACCTGTTTGGAGAAAGAGGGCACATGTCCCTTCTCCATGGCCCTGAGCTTCAGGGTAGTTTTCTCTGTAATTGAATTCTTTTTTCTTCACTTAATTTCATTTTATCTGAAAGGATGTTGGGGAGAGAGAGAAAGGTGGGGGCGGGGGCAGTGAGAGACAGAGAAAACCCATCTATTAATTCATTCTTTCAATACCTGTAAGAAATGACATGTGGCCTCAGGCCAAGACTAAGTATGAATATATAGAGATATAGAGATATAAATAGAAATATATATCTAGATAGATGGTAGAAAGAAAGATAGATTTATAGGTATATGATAGATAGGTAGGTAGGTGATAGTTAAATACAATTCGGTCATGATTTAAAAAATTTTTTTTCTTTATTTGAAAGGCAGAGCAACACACTCACACAGATATCTTCCATCTGCTGATTCATTCCCTAAGGGTCTACAACAGCTGATCTTGTATTAGGTTGAAACTGGGGAGCCAGGACCTCCATCTTAGTTTCTCATAGCAGAGACCCCAGGACTTGAGTCATCACCTGCTGCCTGTCAGGGTCTGTATTAGGAAATTAAGATCAGAAACAGCAGAACTCAAACTAGGCATGTTCATAAGGGATGTGTCCCAAGCAGCATTTGTGTTTTTATGACTATCATTTGCTCGTTTAGCTGAAAGTCAGAGTTACAGAGAGAGGGTGAAGCGAAGAGAGAGATCTTCAAACTGCTGGTTCACTCCCAAATGGCCACAAAATCCAGGGCTGGGCCAGGCCAAAGCCAGGAGCCTGGAATTTTTCTGGGTCTCCCATGTGGGTACAGGGGCCCAAAGCCTTAGGTCATTTTCTGCTGCTTTGCCAGTCATGTTACTTAGGGAGCTGGATCAGAAATGCAGCAGTTGGGACTGGAACTGGCTCCCACATAGGATGCCAGCACTGCAGGCAGTGGCACCAATTCCCCATGCCCCCAAGCAGTATGTTAGTCATTGCTAATTGCTTGCTGTTCGATTTCGGAAGATGCCTGACTGATATTCAGCTTCCATCCTTATTTTCTTAGTATAGTTTTATGCGACCTGCAGGAGACTTGCATAGGGTCATCAGCCACAGCTTCTGTAGTAGGAATATCCAGTGGCACAGCAGCTTTTATTCCTCTAAGAGGGAGAGGATTGTCTGCTTCCTTCAGGGCCAGATCCCCATTGCCCAGGCCAGGGCCTAGCACATACTGTTTGTTGCAGTAAATGCCCAAGAATACTTCTTGAGTGACACCACAGCTTGATAGGAATTGAAGACTGACCTGGAGTTTGTTGACACAGGGAAATCCTGGAAGAATCCTGGCTGGATTGAGCCTGTTACACCATTTTGCCCAGGGCAGCCTTGTGTACATTTTTGTAGGGCAGGAGGGCAGGGAGTGACACCACCCTGTGACCCACACCTGGTAGTGAGTTGTTGCTGCTGTATGTAGGCAGCCCTTTCATCTGCCCCGGCTCCTCTGCTCCCTGAAGGTGGGGGAACTGGGAAGTCACAGGTGTAGACTTGTTTGTGCAAGGAGAAGCCAAGGTCACGGGATTCTGGGAAGTGAATGCGAAGTGATACCAAGAATTGAACCCAGGGTGATTCAGAGTCTAAAAATGTGTTGTGCAAACAGCCTGGGTGCCCGTCTCCGTCTCCCAGGGAATCTGGTTGGGCTGGACTGCAGCCCAGGAATGCCGGCCCCATGTTCTCACAACAGGCTCCCTAGCAGGGTGCCAAAACCTGCTCTGGTCAGAAATCACTCCAAACTGCCCTCTCTTCTCAGAGATCCCCAGCAGAAAACACTCCTCAACCCCAGCGAGACAGAGAAGGAGAAATAAAAGTTTGATTTTTGTTAGTCACAAACAAGCTGGGAAAGTACACCACCCCCTAGTCCCACACACACACACACACGCACACGCACACACACACACACACACACACACACACCTGGTCTTTGTGTATATACAGCTCACAACACCAGGGACAGGCTCCTTCTTTTCCTAGGAGGTACTTTGCCATCACGGTCATCTACAGCCAATCAACCATGAAGAATGGTGACCAAACCTGCACTTGCATGAAGGTGTGTCCACTCTGTGAAGAGGTGGACAGCAAACCCCCAGCATGCACTGGGCTGGGGTGGAGGTGTTGGCTTCTTTAGGTGAGAGGAGAAATTCCAAAGTCTCCTCACTGGTAGGCTCTCCAATGTGAAACTTTTGCACTTGAACATATCAGTGCTTTGGTGTCACATGTGGCTCCATTCCCTATAGGGGCAGAGGCCGGACCTTGCTCACACCTGCATCTACTTTCCCCAACCTGGTTCATAACAAAGACTCACTCAGTGTTCACAGGCAGGCCAGCTGGAACAAAGCAGGCATCCTGTGCCAGCGACAGGTGTCCCAGCTCAGGAGGTCCAGTGAGGGCAGATGGCTAGGGTGTAAAATCTGTAGCTGAAGCCTTCCCCCTTCAGGTTCCCTTGAAATCTGCTTGCACTACCCAGAAAGATGCATGCCATAGAGGCAAATTGAACATACTCTCTCCCTGCACCCCAAATCTGGGAATCCCAAATTTGAAACACTCCGAAACGGCCATCATTTTGAGTTCTGAAAAGATGCCACAAGTGGAAAATTCCACACTTGACCTCATATGAAGGGTCAAAATCTAAACATAGATGCCCCCCAAAACACTGTATAGATTACCTTCAGCTGATGCGTGTTGGATGTGGTTGAAACACAGAAGAGTTTTGTTTGTTGACTTGAGTCCTGTCTCCAAGATGTCTCACTGTATGTGTGTAAATAGTCTAAAATCTGAAATCTGAAATGGTTTCTACTTCCTCGAATGTTAGATAAGGAATATTTGTCCTGTGCTTGGTGATAAGTGGTTCTGTCGCTGGTCTCTAAGCTAAGTGATTGCTTTCTGGAGGGAATGTTGCTGTTGGCTACCCTGTCTCTTGGGAGAGAGAGATTTCCTGGGCTGCTGTGCCTGAGCCTTGTATCAGAGCTCAGCTTTTCTAGCCACGGATAATTCCAAAGCTGTGGAAGGCACAGTGTCTGCCACAAAGTCTGTCAAAAACTAAATAGCTAAAATGAGAATATGTGCACTGACATGGAATTAACAATGCATGAAGACTTGGGAGCACTGTTTTTGTTTTTATTTTTATTTATTTATTTATTTTTTAATTTGAGAGACATAGACAGAAATAGACACTCAGAGAGAGCAACTGTACACTGATTTACTCTCCAAATGCCTACGATGGTGGGGACTGCACTGGTGCTGAAACTGCACGCTCAATCCAGATCTCCCATGTGGGATGACAGGGACCCGAATACTCACAGGATCTGCCCTGGCAAGGAGCTGGATGAATGTTTCTACATAAATAAATCCCTGCTTGTCATCCCCTCCCACACCCTTGCTGGATCTGTCTATGTAACTCATGTCAGAAGCAGCCTGACTGAAAACCAGGGCATGCAGCGAAGAGCACCTGCTCTTGGATTCCAGCTGGAGGCGTTGAGATGCCAAGCCTGGGTGCAGTAACACTGTGGCAACTGTTTAGGGTAGTGTGGGAGGAGGGAATGGAGGCAGAGAGTGCGTGAGAGACTTGTCATAGTCATAGTCATAGTCTAAGCAAGAGGCCACCATGCTTCCCGTGAGAAAGAAATAGAAGGGAGCTGGGTCAGTTTGGTGGCTCAACAGCCTCTGCGTAATCCTCTGTCTGTCTGCGCCGGTATCCCATATGAGCACTGGTTCTAGTCCCAGCTGTTTCACTTCTGATCCAGCTCCCTGATTATGAGCCAGGAAAGCAGTAGAGGATGGTTCAAGTGCTTGAGTCCCTGCCTTCCTATGGGCAATCTGGTCTTGGCTCCTGGCTCCTGGCTTTGGATTGGCTTAGCTCCAACTGAGCTGTTTGGGGAGTGAACCAGTGGGTGGAATTTCTTGTTGTCTCTCCTTCTCTCTGTATATCTGCCTTTTCAATAAAAATAAATCTTAAAAAAATAAATAAATGAAAAGGAGGGCCACTGTGGTTGGTCTCATCCTGAAACAATTAGGATTACTCACCTAGTATAAGATGGAAAGATGAGAGTTGTGCTATAATAAAGAGAGGATGTCTCCCCAAACAAAAACAAAAACAAACCAAAACCAAAACAAACAGACAAAAAAAACAATCAAAACCCAGAACCCCAAGCTAAGAAGGAATTCTCTATATTGCTGAAGGCTGCTGCCCTGTTTGGAGGTCTATTAGACTGAGAGCATGTTTAGATTCCCCATGGCAACATCTAGTTCATGGGATGATGGATGAGTCGGACTGGTATACTCTGGCATTAACAAGCATCTCAGGGCATACCAAGGAAGCCATCGCCCTTATTCCCCAGAATTATTGAATCTGGTCTTGAGTTCCCCTCCCAGGGTTGAATCTATCAACAAGGAAGGGTAGTTAACAACAAAATCCCCTCAAAAACCTAAAACCATTCCTTTATTTGAAAGGCAAAGAGAGATAGGCACGAAGAGATCTCCCTCCCACTGGTTTCATCCTCAAATGTCCATAACAGCTGGGGCTAGGTTGGCCCAAAGAAGGAATTCCATCCAGGCCTCCCACGTGGGTGGCAGGGACCACTGGAGCTCTCACTTGCTATCCTCCAGGGTATGTTATCAGGAAGCTGGACCCAGAGCTGGCACTAAACTCAAACACTCTTGATATGGAGTATGGGTGACTCTGGGTTTAACCCTGGGGCCAAACACCTGCCCCTCTTGATACAAATTTTTTATTTTCAAAAGTTGCTAGCACTTATTTTTTTTTTGTAATCATCACACGTTTGTTAGAAAAATATGGGCAATATATGCGCAAAGACGAATAGCCCAGCTGGCTATGAGCAATCACTGATGACATTTTGTCATCTCCTTCCAGTGTTAAAGTGCTTGTGTATGGGGGCAGAGGAAGGAGGAGGAGCTTTGCTATATTTGTTTGGGGGTTGTGTGAGGCTCCATAGCAGACCTGGGCCAGGGGAGCTTTGAGGGTTGCCTTTCAATGGTGAAATGGTAGTGAGGGGAAGGGGAAGAAACAAAGTGTTATGTGGAAGCTACAGAAAAATCACATCAACAACTGAAAGCTCTCCTGAGACCACTAAGAGGGTGACATAGAATACCAGGCAGTGTTTCTTTCTCCAAGGTAGTTTCAGAGTTGCAGTCATCACAGGATAAGAGATTTATGTATGAATGGGTATGTGCTGGAATATTCCATCATAGATCTGTCTGAGAAATAGAGTCTCCAATGAACACTCATGCCTTATTGCATGAAGATTCTGTATCTTGGGATTTTAGTATTCTCTCTTTTCAACACACTTTTAAAAAATGTTGAGTGATCTGTATCTTTTTTTAAAAAGTATTTAATTTATTTGAAAGGCAGATTAACAGAGAAGAGAGACAGAGAGATCTTCCACCTCCTGGTTCACTCCTCAAATGTATGCAATGGCCAGAGCTGAGCCAATCCAAAGCCAGGAGCCAGGAGCTTCCTCTGGGTCTCCCATGTGGGTACAAAGATCCAAGGACTTGGGCCATCTTGTGTGCTTTCCCAAGCCGTAAATAGGGAGCTGGATGAGAACTAGAGCAGCTAGAACCTGAACTGGTGCCCATAGGGATCCTGATGCTTGCAGGGTAAGCATTTAGTTAACTGAGCCATCACACTGAGCCCAACAGAGTTTTTACGACCTAGGAGACAGCAATGTTATCCCATTTATTTTTATCCTGTACACATTTTCTCTTATTTACTACTTGTGAACTTTCCATTGAATTGATTAAGTAAATTTCTGAAACATAGTGGAAGCTAGTACTTAAGAATATAGACCTTTGGGGTCAGTGTTGTGTGGTACAGTGGGTTAAGCTGCCACCTGCAATGTTGGCATCCTATGTGGGCACAGGTTCAGGTCCCAGCTATTCCATTTCTGATCCAGTTCACTGCTGATGACCCTATACTCATTTAGGAGACCTGCAATAAGAGCTTGGCTTCTGCCTTCAGTCTGCCACATCCCCAACCATTTCAGACATTTGGGGCGTGAACTAGAACCTGGTAGAATGAAGAACAGAAAACGAAGAACAAGACAAGCAGCTAGAAGGTAGTGCTTACATAAGATAAGTTAGAATAGATTTGGAAATTGTCCAGCTGGGCTCCACTGCCTGTCTTGGCCCTATGGAACACGGCATGGATTGGAATGTGATTCCACAGGATGCCATATAGACAAAGTCTATTGATTCTCATTCTTAAGGAATCTCCTTGGTTATTATTAGTTATTACAAGATATAATCATGCTAATCATGCTATCATTCTTCATGTTGACTGTGAGAGCTAGTCCCACCTTGGAGATTCTGTTAAGAAGATCTGAGAGGCCTGTGTTCTGGTGTAGCATGTTAAACCACTACTTGGGAGGTCCATGTCTTGTTTCAGAGTGTTGGATGCAGGCTGGGCTGCTCTGCTTCCCACTCAGCTTCCTGCAAAGGAAGCACCTTGGAGGCAGCAGGTGATGACTGACAGCCACAGGCGAGACCAGGGTGGGATTCTAGGTTCCTGGCTTCAGCCTGGGAAAGCCTTGGTCTTCACAGGCATTTGGGGAATGAACAAGCCCATAGAAGATTCTATCTTTCTCTTTGTTTCTATCTTCCTTTCAAATGAATTCCTAGCAAAAGCCTATGAATATCTAAGAGGTTTTGTACTCATGGACAAAATTCAATCATTCTTGGGTTTCTGCAGTTATTTTATTTGAAAATATGTGCCGTCTGCTGTTTAGGGCACACTTATGATACACTCTATTGTTTCTTGGAAGATTTCATATTGTATAAATTGATCAGATCATAATTCTCTCTATCTCATTATACTGAGCCTGCCTTTTTATTGTCATCTGTGATATCTCATGTCAACAACAGAGTGAGTAACATGCCATCAAACATCTCAGCAGCTGGAAATTAACAGCTGGGCGACAAAAGTAATCCTGGAAGAAGGCTTCACTCACAGCTGTTTGTTGTGATTTTTCAGTGGAACAACTTTAAGGACTCTTAAGGGAATGTCAGATTTATAATATTTTTAACTGGAGAAGGAAGTATCATGGAATTGAAAAAAGACTGCGCTGTATCAACTCTTGTATTTTGGGCATTAGATAAATTTGGAATTTTACTTCTTATCTAAAGATGTCTTTGTAAAGAAGGAGGAAGAGACACCTTAAAGTAAAAAAGAAAAAAATCTAGCTGTGAATTTGCCTTAAGATCTTATATTTTGGGGGATAGGCTGGAGGAATACCCTAGAATTTATAACAACTCACTGGAAGTAATGCTCAAGAGACTAGAATCTTCTTAGATGAAAGCTGTCCTGTGAGAATAGACTGAACACTGACAGCCAAGAGAAAAGTCAGATATCTGAATCATTAGCTCTTTTCCCTCCACATGGAAATCGAAATAGCCTCAGGCTGTGTAGGTTTTGGGGGAGAAATCATTGGTGAATCTTTAAGCAGAGACATCCACAATTAATTAGCTATTTGGCTATTGTGGTTCAGGTTATTAATCATGTGCTTTGCTCATTCAAAGCCCTAGGACTGTGGCATTTTATGCATTAGGTGCCCTCCTGGTATATACTGTCCTGGTTGATGGTAGCATATGACACATCATCCCAGTGCTGAGAAACACTCCCCTCTGGCTCTGTCCTCCTTGTGCTACTCCCAGTCCTGCTTCACCGATCTTAGTCCTCTCCTTATTTTAAAATCTGAGCTATGCCTGTCTATGCTGATGTGGCATCTACGTATTTGGACTATATACTTTGGTCATTTCATTGCCCCTTCCTGGCCCAAACCAATGACATTTGTCAAGCTAAGGAAGACACCCAGCCCACACGACTGTCTGTAATGATGGAAAACCACAGTGGCTTCCTAAGCTAGTTCATGTGGTTGTGAGCTTCAGATCCCAAGTCAGGAAGGAGGCCGCTGGAGTGGGGACTGGGTTATGGCCGCTTCCGCTGACCTTAGGAACACAACCAAACTCACAACTCACGCAGTCACCCACAGCATGACCATAGCCGGTGTGTTTTGGCATTTCCAAGTGCCTCTCCTGTAAGAACAGAGCTAGATAGGGCCCGGTGTAGTAGTCTAGTGGCTAACGTCCTCACCTTGCACACCAGGATCCCATATGGGCACTGGTTTGTTTCCCGGCTGCTCCTCTTCCTTTCCAGCTCCCTGCTTGTGGCTTGGGAAGGCAGTCGAGGGTGGCCCAAAGCCTTGGGACCCTGCACCCATGTGGGAGACCCAGAAAAGGCTCCTGGCTCCTGACTTTGGATTGGCTTAGCTCCAGCCATTGCGACCCCTTGGGGAGTGAATCTTCTGCTCTGTCTCTTCTCCTCTCTGTATATCTGACTTTTCAGTAAAAATAAATAAATCTTAAAAAAAACACAATAGAGCTGGATAAGAAAGCAGCAGAAGTGTGGGAAGAAACATTTTGATCTGGAGACAGACTAAGAAAAAATTCTAAAGCTATCTGAGAAATAAATCCCCGAATGAGAAAATGGCAAAATTTAGCTAGAAATCAAGGAAATTTGTGACTGAAAACAACAGCAACAGCCACGACAAAAACCCTTATGTGGATTAATGTGTGCTTTGGATGCACAGATATGTAACACTCAAAAATGTTCAACAGGAAAGAAAAGCTAGCTGGGCATCAGTACCATGGTGATCCAGCACCCAGGAAAGCAGCACAAGATAGCCCAAGTGTTATGTTCCTACTAGCCCTGTGGGAGGCCTGGATGCAGTTCCAGGCTCCTGACTTCAGCCTGGCCCTGTCTGGTTGCTGCAGCCATTTTGGGCATAAGCCATAAGATAGACAACTCCTCTTTCCCTATCTCTCTGTCCTTTCTCTCCCTTCGTTCCCCTTCCCTTCCTTTCCCTTCCCATCCCTTCTCTCTCCTCCCTGTGCCTCTCTGCTTTCAAATGAATTTTTCAAGAACAAAATGAATAAAGTAAGCATCCTTCCCACATCACAATAACTGGTGTTACAGGAGAATTTTGCTGTTGCTCCCATTTCTTCTTCTTCTACCTCTCCCTCTTCTTTCCCCTACTGCAGTAGTCTATCAACTAACACAGAAAAGGGGCTAACCCCGGCCTATTTGAACACCTGCTTCTTGTCATATACTTACAGAACGTGGAGATGCTGAGGTGTCTTCTCAGAGGATCTTGGAGACAGTTTCCTTCAATGGGAGGTCCACTGATTTGGGATAAATGATCAGGGAGTTAGTTCAGGATTGCCAAAGTGGATGTCACAAGGTAATCCTGCCCTCCTGTCTAGCAAAATGCACCCTCTTCCCCAGGATGCATCTGTTTCATCTGTGACCTGGTCGGGGGAATGCCATGAAAACAAGCTATTAGCTCTACGAGGAACTTGAGGGAGTGCCATGTGACTTCCAGGTGGCCTCATGCCTGGAGATGCACTGTCGCAGCATCAAGGAGGAGACCACAGCTGGGAGGGGCTTACTGTGCTTTCCATCCCAGACCACGGCTGGACCAGCTGGCACGTGCTCCCTCTTCCCCACCCTTTCTCCTTTAAATGTGGCCACTGGCCAGTCATGATGGGCATTTCTCATCTATACTCACCTGTGATTATGTATGTGTATATGTGTTTGTTCACTTTCTCACCTTTTAAATACAGTTTTTCTTTTTGCACACTTTATACATGGAACACTTAACATGTTTGTCTTCGTGTATGGCAAGAACCTGGAGTTAAAAATATTAATTCTCCAGCTCTGAACCCACATTGTCCACAGCCCTTGTTCCCTGGATACAGTGCAGGAAGTGCCTGTCTCCCTTCATTGGTTCTGAAATGTGGTCCTCTTTCTCTCCCAGTTCCCAGGGGGAAGACATCTCTCATGGCCTTGTCTTTGCTGTGGCCTCATGCTGGTTCCTAAACCAAGCCCCAAGACGGGGGTGGTGGGGGTATGGGGGATTGGGGGGAGGGAGCTGTGATCTTTGCCCAGGATGAGGGAGGGGGAACCATGGCTATGCTCTTTTAGTGCTGTCCCTGAAGCAACTACACAGCAAGGCCTTGACTACAGAGACACACAGAACATGAGCACATTGTTTCTTGATAGGATGTGTCTGCCCAGAGCATCTCTGAAATGCCAGCACTAATGCTGCCGAAGGAAAGTGCCTGCTGGGTGCTGGGACAGCCACCCTGAGCACTGGAGTGGCTTGTCCTCGGGGCATCACTTACAGTGGCAGATCCAGGTGGGCAAACAGCAGGGAGACAGCGAAGCTGCAGGGCAAGTTCAAAGCCTGCAGATAGGTCCGCGTGGCCAGTGTGGCCAATGTCACGCTTTCATGGCTTCCCTTTTCTCTCGCTCAAAAGCCAGGGGCGGGTAGCAGAGGTTTGGTATGAAGACTCATTTGCACTCAAGTTTCTGGCTGAGGCCAGACCCAAGTGTTTCCAGTTTGTGACTTAGAATTTTCACTTAACTTCTTTTTATAGTTTATTAGTATCTGCAAAGCAGGAAGAAAGAGACAGGCAGACAAAGAGAGACCTTCCTCTTGACACTTCTTGCTGCATTCCAGGGAGCACAAGGGGAAGGAAGCTGGAGCTGGAAGCAGTGTTAGCACTGGATTCCACGCATGCTGTTAGGAGACACAGTGTCTTCAGGAGCATCTAACTGTCAGCCAGATGTCCACCCTCTTCTTACAGAATTATGGGGTGTGGCAGAGGGGAGCAGGGGGAGAGACAGAAAGAGCTGTCAGCCAGATGTCCACCCTCTTCTCACAGAGTTATGGGGTGGAGCGGAGGGGGCGGGGGGAGAGACAGAAGGAGCGATAGAGATTTGCTGTTTCACTCCCCAGACGGCCACAGCCAGGAGCCAGGATCTTCACTTGGTTCTCTCACTGTGGATGCAGAGAGAAAGAGAAAGAGAAAAAGAGAGACACAGAGAGAAAGAAACCGTCCTGTCCGTCCAGGCAAAGAGTTTAATGTCAGGAGAGTCTGTAGAACTGCACCCTTGTGGGAGACAGCCCCGTAACCACTTCCACACAGGGAGAGGAGGTGACTGTGTGAGGGAAATGGCTGCCTGGGGTAATACAGCACTGGGGGTTTATACATTTTATGTGTCGGGGTGGGGCACCAGAAGACAGCGTGTGTCAGCATCTGCACCGGGAGATAAGGCCATGGCTTTTGCAGGGTGTCCTCCCTGGGCAAGTGTCAGCATCTGCATGCTGGGATAAAGCAGCAGCTGCAGGAAGGTGTGGGCCTAGGCAGCAGTTCCAGCGGAGCGGCCAGTAAAGAAGGTGTGCATCGGGGAGTCACTTCTGTGCTACTTAGCCCAACATGAATATAGCTTGTTTGTTTTTCAAGAACATTTTTTTTTTTTTTTTTGCAATTTTTTATTTGAAAGGCATGGCTACAAAGAGAAGGAGAGACAGAGAAATAAGGTCTTCTATCTGCTGGTTCATTCCCCAAATGGCTACAATGGTCAGAATTGAGCCAATCTGAAGCCAGGAGCTAGGACCTTCTTCCTGGCTTCCCATGCAGCTTTGAGCGATCTTCTGCTGCTTTCCTAGGCCATTAACAGGAAGCTGGACAGGAAGTGGAGCAGCCAGGACTCAAACTGGCACCCAGATAAGATGCTGACTCTGTAGGCAGAAGCTTAGCCTTCTACACATGGTGCCATCTTCTAGCTTATTTCTAAATATAAAATACAAAAGAAAACAATACTTACAGTTTATTTCTAAAAGTGTTTTTGATTCTTTGTTTACTTATTTGAAAGGGTGAAAGAGAGAAGGTGGGAGAGAGCTCCCACCAGACGTTTCACTCCCCAAATGTCTATATCAGCTAGAACTGGGTCAGATAGGAGCCGGGAATTCATTCCAGGTCTCCATTGAGAATGTTGGGGACAGAACTGCTTGGGCTATTATCTACTGTTTCCCAGGGTGTGCACATTAGCAGGGAACTACAATTGGAAGCAGAGATGGGGACTTGAATCCAGCAACTCTGTGAAATCTGTCATGGGGTGCAGGCATTCCAACTGGAGTCTTTTTGGTTTTTGAGAAAGAATTGAAGATGAGAAAAAGAGAGATCTGCCACCTGCTGCTTTGCTCCTCAAATAACTGCAACGAGCAGGGCTGGACAAGGCCAAGTCAGGAGTCCAGTGTTCAATCTGTGTCTCCCAAGTACTTGAGCCAGCACCAGCTGCTACCCAGGGTGCACATCAGCAGGGAGCTGGCATGCCCACCCCTGGCAAATCATCAGCGACCTATCTTCCAGTGATGTTTGCCTTAATGCTTTTTGCTTTTATAGAAGTTTAAAATAATTGCAAGAATTCTGTATGTCAATTCTCCAGCATGCTCATTTCCACTTTTTTTTCAGGTGATTAGAATGATTATTAGGGATTATTTTTATAGTATCCATCATAGTGTATTTTATGACACTGACATTTTTTCCACTGCCCCCATTGTATGGTGTTTAGTCTCTTTGCACTTCTTATTGTTGTAAATAATACCATACATAGAAAATACCTTTCCTTACATCTCCAGGACATTTTAATATGGGCTCCTGAAGGATCCTAAAAACGTCTTTCATCATAGGAATTGGCTGCAGACAACGATTAAAGGTTTGAAGGAAAAATGGACTCTTGTTTAATTTCTTGCTAGTTGATCATGTTGCAGCCAGAAACAGCTGAGGCACCTGTTTTGGCTATCTCCCCTGAAAGCTTCTCCTTCCCACACATCACCCTCAAATGCAAGTAGACGGACGTCCGGGGTTAGTCAGCCATCATACGGCTCCTCAATGATTATCTGCTGAAGGAAAAGACAAGCCCGTCTGGAGCATTTGGCTGTGTCCCAGGGAGAAGCAAAGCCAGCTTGCATCCCTGTGCCCTTCAGAGGCTTGCCCTGGTTTTCCAGGTCGTCCCTGTAGGCCAGGGCTAAAGGGTCTTGCTTCCCCCTAGTGGCCGGCATCGGCAGGCGCAGCGCAGCCTGGAAGCCAGGAGCAGCTGTCCTGGGATGACCTCCCCGCGTTGGAGAAAGGAGCCTCTCCCCACATCACAGGCACTCACCTGTGCCCCCGGCCTCAAGCCAAGACTTTAGGGTGTGGGGTTTGTTCCTCCAGGGCTCATTTCTGCATGCACAGGGTTGTGTTTCCTTCCCACCAATGTCAATGACTTGGCACCATCCACATGCACTCTGTTCTGTGTCGGGGCTGGAGGACATAGCACAGAGCAGCTGGCAGAGGCAGGAAGAAACCAGCCTGGGAATCCTCAGGGGAAAACACCTGGAGGAAAGTAGGAAACTCTCTCACTTCTAGTAAAGCTACAGGTGCACAGAGTGGAGACAAGCAGAAGGGAGCGTTGTGAGGCTCAATTTGTCCTGGATGGGGACCAGGTCTCTGTCTTGTTCTCTCAGCAAGGTTCAGTCATCACCTCACACAGCCCTGCTGCTGTTGCCAGAACCAGTCGCAAAGTTTCTGTGGGTTGGTTGGTCACGTCCTCTACCGGTTTCTCATGGTCTTCTGAAGGTGTGCTGAGCTGTAGCCAGACAGGCAACCTGGTTCCTGGCAGAGGAATCACTTACCTACCGTTATCTGTCTACTCCTTCCTTCTTATCACCCACTAGCTATCTCCATACTTGCCTACTACTTCCTTGCATTCCTTCCCCCGTTCTTCCATTCCTGTCTCCCTCCTACCCATTGACTGCTTATCTCCCTCCCCACTTTCTCCCATTCTTCCTTGCTTCTACCCACCCACTCCCTACATACTGCTTGCTTATCTACTGACATCCAAGCTGCCTACCTTAACACTTCCCTGCTTTCTTCCATACTCTTTCCTCCTAGCTACCTACTTCCTTCCCTACATACTGCCCACATGCCTGTCCCTACCTATGTCCCTCTTTCCCGCTCTCCCTCAGTCCCACCTCCCACCTCTTTCCCCACCTCCTACCTATCCTCCCTCCCTCTCTACCCCTTAACTACTCTCTTGCTTCCCTCTCCCTCAATCCCACCACCTCCATCACTCCCTTTTTTTCTTACCCACCAACTACTTACCTGCTAGTTCTCTCATCTCTCCCTCTGTCCCTCTTCCCTGTGTCATGCTGCGGGAAAACATCTCAGGTGCTAGGTTTTCTTCTTTAAAATGAGCAGCTTGAATCAGATGAGATGAAAATAGCCCTCCCAGTTCTAAAGCGGCTAGAACAGGCAGCATTTAGCATTTTCTCAGAGATCTGTGAGATCTCCTCTAATCCCCTGCCCCCTGCCCCAGGGTGGGGTGATGTGTGAGGCCAGCTCCCTCCCTTCTTTCCTGGCCCAGGTACACCACTGCTGTGGAAACCCCAGGGTATACTGGCCTTTCCATCTGCTGTACTTGGAGGACAGGCAGCCTTGTAGCCCTGGATGTGCAGCCCCTATGGCAGCGGATGGAGATTCCATGGGGATCTGAATTGGAGCAGCTGCACTTGCTTTGCACTGGAACGGAGAGCAGGTGCACACCACTTGGGCCCAGGAACTGCTTTGCCTGTTATGAGGACGGGCTTTCAGTTCACATCTGAGAAGGGAAGCACTATTTATGGCTTACAAATTCCGTGTTGGAGGGAAGGAATTCAAAGGGTGTCCTTCAAGGAATCCAGAGGCTCAACTGCAGCTTAACCTACCCCACCCCCTGCCCCAGCACCTTCACAGGGCACTCCTTCCCTTCACCTTGAGGCAGTCACCTCCTTGCTGGTGGCTACCTCCACACTGTCGTGATGAGTAAGAGAAGAAAGAATAGGTCAAGGGCAGAAGGTCCTGGTAGGGGTGGGGTGTGTGCAGGCACTGATGTGGTTTGCATCTCATTGAGGAGCTCAGTCCTTAGTCTAAACCCTCAGAAAGACTGCCTGAATGTGTATGTGTGTGTGTAAATACAGGGCTACTGCTGCTTTGGTGTGCCAAATGTAAAGAAAACATTAGTTTTTAAAATTATTGTGTTTATTTGAAAGAGATAGATTGATAGAGAGAGAGAGAGAGAGAGAGAGAGAGAGAATGAATCTTTCTTCTTTTCAAATGTCCACAATATTCAGGGTTTGGCCAGAGTGAAGCCAGGAACCAGGAATTCCATCCAGGTCTCTGACATGGAATGCAGGGGTTCAATTACCTAGACTATCACCTGCTGCCTTCCCAGGGAAATTAGCAGGAAGCTGGATCAGAAACAGATCAGCTGAGATATGAACTGGGCTTGACAGGGCTTATACTACGGCTCCCACAACACCAGCTCCGTGCTATTGTACCAAGATTTTGGGCCAGTCTCCACTGCTTTCCCAGGGCACTAGCAGGGAGGTGAAGTCGAGCAGCCAGGACATGAACCCACGTCCACATGAGATCCTGTTGTGTGCAAGGTGAGGATTTGGCTACTGAACCATTGCATCGGGTCCAGCCCTGATGTTCTGATGAAGGATGAAGAAGCAATCAGTGTCTTAACTTCCAGCCCAGATGCCCATCCTCAGTTGCAGATTTTGGAATAAAAGCAGTAAAAGTAATTGATCAGACACTAGTCAGGGTAGGGGTGATTTGAGCTCCTGAGTAGTTGCCCATTGGTCTGCTCAGATGCAGACAGTGATCTCCAAAATGGTCCTGTATCATTTGCTGCTGTTCACAGCTTAGCCAGTTGAATTTAGAGCCTGGCCTGTGGGAGGTGAGAATGTGGATCTTTCAGAAAGCAGGTGGATGTGCTGGCTGGTGAGTGCCAAGCTCTGAAAGTGCTGATGTTAACAGGGCTACTAAATACAAAACAAAGAACCACAACAAAAACCCACTAAAGCTTTGTATTACAGAAGAGTTTGTTAACATTTCTCCAAGACAACAAA